AGATGAAAAGATAAAGAAATGTGGTGTTTATACACACTAGAAATCAACCATGCTACTACGGATAAATTTGAGTAATCTGTAGGAAAATGGATGCATCTTGACACTATGATGTTAAGTGAAGTAAATCAGACACACAAGTGTAATTACCTGGTGTAATGGGTGATATCTTATGTCAACCTGAGAAGTTTAGACGTTTAACTAAGTGACTCAGCAGGGGGCCAGAGTCCTCACTTTGTAAACATCCAGATCTTGTGCAAAAGGAAGGCACAGAGATGGTGTGAGCGCTACACCCATCCTGGCGGGGGCGGGGGGGGGGGTAGCCCTTTTACAAATAAGGGAGAAAAAGAGGCTTACTTTCCCCCCTTGTGCTCTAGTTGCTTTTGCTGTCTTCTGCTGCCTTAAACTGTTGCCCCTGTGCCATGCATGCCACCCTGCTTTGGAGCCAGCTGATTATGGACTGAAACCTCCACAAACTAGGAGCTAAATAAATCTTTCCCTCTTTAACTTTGAGTGTTGGGTATCTTACCCCAGCAACCACAGAAAGCTAAGACTCCTGGTTTCTCTTATATGAGATCCAAAGCAGAAATAAAGAGCAACAGAAAAGGTAAGTAATAGGAAACAGGGCTGGGGATTTAGCTCAGCGGCAAAAGCGCCTGCCTGGCAAGCTCAAGGTCGTGAGTTCGGTTCCCGGTACCGGAGAAAAACCAAAAAAAAAAAAAAAAAAGTAATAGGAAACATAGACATAGATCTTTTGGGAAGAGGACCAGGACATGAAGGGTAGGGGATATAAAAAGAATTAAGATGTATTATGTACATATATTAATTCCCTAGGATTAAAATAATCATTGTGTATTGTGAACATGTTCTAATACAAATAAAAATGTGAAAGAACAAAAAAGATTAATAGGCATGATAAAGATCCCTACTATGGCTATGTCTAAAAAGGACCTTTTTTTTTTTAAAAAGGACCTTTTAATAAATATGTTTTAAAATTCCTGCTAGATGTGGAGGTATGCACCTATATCCTAGCCCTTAGGAGGCTGAGGCAGGAGTATGACTCAAGAGGCTGCGAGTTCAAGGCCAGCCTGAACTACAAAGTGAAACCCTGTCTCAAAAAAAAAAAAAAAAAAAAAGAGCAAAAAAGTCCCAGCTCACAGTAAAACACCCATCGCTGTAGAGTGTCCTTTTGTGTGACATAAAATAATGGTATGTTGCAGAATCATTGATCATGACCATTGAGCTCACCTGTTGGCCTGTTTAACTTGCCACCTCAAAGACCTGGTCACAGTGGCCATGCCTGAGTTCCTGTCTCCGTCCCCATGTGCCTCACTCCTCAACACGTCTCACTCATCTGAGCTCTGAGTCCACAACACTTGCTGTGTGCCTGAGACCCCAGCCCAGAGTTGCTGAATGGGAATCTCTGAGGTGGTGGGCCTAGCAGGCATCTTGTGTAAAGTCTCCAGTGGTGATGGACATGTGAAGCTGCCAACCCCACAGGCATATCACCAATTCCAGCAAAGCACAAAACAGTGAAAATTAACAAGTGAGGATACAGACAAGTGGTGGCAGCAGACTGGCTGTGACCCAGGTCAGACCCACCTTGGTCCTGAGAACTGCTCCCTATTGAAGACAGGTTTATTCTAAGGTGGCAGAACGGCAAATAGAGACCATAATGTATGGGCCCAGGCAAGGCACCAGAAAAGCTGATGCTGACAGGTGCTCATGTCTGATAAGAAGCTATTCAGGTGAGAAAGTAGTCAACCCATTCAATCAGTGTTGACTTTCTCCTGTGAGAAGGAAGCACGCTGCAGAAGAAAGTATTCAGTCCTTCTTGGCAGGTGCTCTTGTGGCAAACCCAAGCCCCAAGTGCACTGTTTTAGGATGTTTTGTGAATTTGGTTGGAATGAGTCCGTCTTTCAAGTGGAGGTCTGAAAGGGAGCTAGGAGCACCATGGGGCATACCTTCATGGGAGCCTGAAGTTACTCCTTGAACTTAGAAAGAAAATATTAGAACTTTGACTATTTACACATATAAAGATATAAAGTGCTTCATTAATGTATGTTATACTTATCTACAAAATCAATGATTTTGCAACCCACTGTTATTTTACATTGCACCAAAAAAGAAATTACTACTGATGGATGATTTATTATTCTGACCTGGGACTTAAATATTTATCAAAAGTTCACTTTTTAGAATTTAGACAAAACAATGATCTTTGTCATATCTGGTAGTCTTGTGCCTATGTAAAAAGGAAAACATAAGTGAAATCAGATTTCTGCATGCTCAGCATGGCAACTGTATCTCCACTGCTGAATAGCAAACATGCTCAAATTATTTATTTATTTTTTAGTCGTGGAGTTTTTGGAGATCACTCTGGAGGAGGACAGCATCATGTCTTGATGTGAGGCCCAACCCAGTGTTCCTGAAAGTTTCCAATCTGCAGCCATACTTGGATGCTCTGGGGAACCAGACAGCATCCTCTCTTGCCTTCACACCCAGAGAAGGTTGCCCATGCACATGAGCCCTCTCATGGAGGATGTCCCAGCAGGGCTGGATACAGATCATGCTGACTGACGCCAAGACTCTCCAGAGCCATTCTTATGGCATCCCACAGGCCACAGAGTGGGTGTGGCCCGCAGATTTTGTTTGCCTGTTGGTTTCGTTGAGCTTTTTCTTTGACAGACATGCCTTCTTAAAATTGAGTTCACAGCAGTGAAGTTAAAGTTTAGCCTGGCCCCACCTCACATCTTCACATTCATGTTACATGCCACATGCATGAGCTTGCTATTTTGCTATTACATAGATTCTAAGTTTTAAAGCATTGAATCAGCCTCTCCCTTTCTTCTTCTATTTTCTTGTTCTGATGCTGGAGATGGAACTTAGGGCCTTGAGCAGGCTCTAATCCTGAGCTTTATGCCCAGCCTTAGAGTATTCATTTGGCTCATTTCCTTCTTTCCCTCCTTCCTTTCCTGTTCATTCTTCTTGTGATGCTAGAGGTTGAACAAAGGGCCTTCCACACTCCAGGGAAGCTCTCTATCACTGAGTTGCACCTCTAGCCCTTAAATTGGCTCTTGATGCCACTGAAAATGTGTTCTTGATTCTCTGGGGCCACACACAGAAACAGTCATTCTCTTGGTCTAACGAAGACAGCCTGCCTGAGCTGGTTTAAGGCCTGAGGGAAGAACCTTAACAACTAGAAGTTTTTCATTCTTGGACTTGCAGAGCAACCCTGGGAGTAGCAGGGGTTACAAGCAGCAAGGGGTGTGGGCGTTCTTGAGTTTTGCAATCCTTCCCATCTATAGATGTCTTTTCAAACTATTATAAAGTTTTTCATTCCATCTTCCATAGTCTCTAAAACTATCATGATATTTCATTAAAGGATTTAAAACATTTTCTTATCGTTTCTTGTGCTGTTGGATTTAGAACATGGCCAAATTTTCAATATTCTCAATAACACTGTCAAAATATCTTCATTCTTTTCATATAGAGAATTATTATTATAGGAGGGGGACAAGAATAGCACAATGGTTCATTTACCACCTGTAAGTATTAACTTCTCTGAGCCTCCATTTCCTCAAATATGAAAGGTACACTACCTGCTTCACAGACTATTACAGGAACTAAATGGTCAGTGGGTACAAAGTGCCTCAGGTAACCAGAGAGTTACAGATGCAGCTAGCATCATTCTCAGTCGCCATCATGTCATGACCACTATCAGCACAGTCCTCTCACCATCCCTGCAACTTGCCCTGAAGTAGGATCAATGGATTCAGGAGCACAAGGGTGACAGACAACAGTCTAAGCCTTGGGTATTTACAAGTGGAATGTAAGATAGTGATCAGATGCCCTGGAACCTAGTCCCTGCCTTGCCCTGCCCTGTAGGCCTTTGCACAGGAGCCTGAAAATGACCCCAGTTGGCCCTTTCCCCACATTCTCACTGCAGGGAGGGGCAGTGACACAGGTGGAAACTGATGTACCTCTGAGACTGTAAAGGCTTTACCTGCAGTTCAGATGCCAGTCCCCGAAATCTGTGTCCTCTAATTCTGAGGTCACAGAAGTCGTTGGTGAATTGGAGGCATAACGCTAGCATGTAGAGAACCCACAGCTGACAGGGGGCTTTGGGGAAATGTCTGCATTATGGGGAGAGAGACACGGACGTATGCTGTGGAATACCAGTCTGCCTCATTGGCACCAAGCAGAGTTAACTGGGAGAGATTGGAGGGGAGATTAACAACTGAGCCTTCATTGATGTGCTCCTCCACTCATGGCTCCACCAAAAGCAACGGTGGGGGCGCTGAGCAGAACGTGGAACTGAAGGGCTCTGCCCTCGACCCCCGTCCTGTGGCTGCCTGCGGACAGAGGGCCTGGCAGTGGAGTTAAGGGCTATGCCATCATTAAGGGTTCCCCTTCTCCGCTGGAGGCTTCCAGAGGTAACTGAGGTGGAGGGAGGGGCAGGAAAGTGATTGGAGCTTTGACGTCCTTGAGTGTTCTCTGGACTGACTGCACAACCAAGCCACCAAAGGATGACACAGGCAGATGTGAGGACTTGTGCTGCAGGACGGCGCCTTCCCCAAGTGGGCCCACAGAGCCCGAAAAGGAAAGGAGGAAGAGCGCGCAGAAGGCGGGAAATGTCGCATCCCCAAATGCGGTGCTGCCTGATCCTGCAAGGCAACTCCTGCCCAGAGGAGAGGGCGGTGTAGGGACATTGCCACCAAGCTACTGGGCTAGCTTGGCTCCCAGGTTTAACTTTCTTACCAGCTGGCCAGCTCCTGAAACTGGCTCACTGTGAAGGATGCTTAAGGACAGTTAAACCCAATAATCTGGATATTTAAAAAACTTCAAGTTTTAAAATAAAAATTCATACGCGCTTCACAAAGCTCCTGACCTTGTTGAGTGATGACTCAACCTGGTCTGCTCATTTCGAGGTCCCTGATGCCTGCGATGCTGTACGCGGCGCTCCCGAAGGCGCAGCTCGCGCGTGCAGTGGGGGCTCTTACCGCAGCGGCCTGGCGTTTGTCTGGGCAAGCAGTGCAGGGCCCCGAACACGCACCTGCAGAGGCGGCAGCCGCGGACGGTCCAGGCTCCGTGCCCCAGGGCGCCGCAGTCGCTGCGGAGCAGTAGGAGCGTCAGGGCCGAGGCCCTAGCTCGCGCAACCACTCCCCCCCCCCCCGAGCGCTCCGCGTCCCTCGCCCCCGAGCCCACCTGCGCCTCTGGTCATGTTCGCAGTGGCGACCGGTGAAGGGCGCGGGGCACACGCAGAAGCTGCCCAGCACGCAGGTGCCCCCGTTCCTGCAGCAGCGCGGCGGCGGCGGCGGCGGCGGCACACCTGTGGGGTCAGCGGCGTCATCTGCCTGGTCTTCGCCGGAGGGGACCAAGCCAGCGCCCTGCTGAGCGTGTGTGCTCCGGCAAACTCTGCTTGTTAATTCAGGAATTAAAACAAACTACCAAGGGCTCTGGCGGTCAGGAGAAGCCTGACTACACTCCGCAAGTTGGATTCTCTCTCTCCCTTCCTTTCACATGTTAAAGTCAGGCTGTGGTTTCCTGGGACAGTGATTAAAGACAGGCCTCCCAGGCAGGACCACCCAACTCCTGGGGACTTGGAGCGGAGCCCGGCTGTGCTAAGCCAAGCCAGAGCCCCTGTTACCTAGGCTTAGCGAATGCAACGCTTTACGAATTAGATAGCAAGACCTTCAAAAAGATAAACACCTCACTAGGAAATGCTTTTACTTTGTAGGGATGTATGATATGAAGACAATGAGCTGTTCCCTTTTGGTTTCTCACTTTATCCGTAATTTACCCTTTTTTCCCCAGATCTTAAAGTCTACTAACCAGAGTCACTGCAAAAGTTGGTCAGCGAGGAGACTTACGCTCTCCGTAGACCCTGGAGTGCAGTGCAGAGTGTTGAGGCACCCCGTCTTCATCGCTTCCGTTCTCCCGTGTGAAATTATTCCCGGCCCTAGGGAGTATCCTCAGCTGGAGCTTAGGAGCGGCGACATTGATGATTTCTCTACCATTTTTATGTTTCTCTCCATGATAGCCTTTCAAAAATATTAGATATGAAACTGATAATGATGGAGAAACAGACATTTTATGCAATTACAACTGAGACTATAAATAAAATGATTCTTACTGTTTCCCAAGTGGATGATCTGTAATGCCAAACTGGTTAGACACAATAGCCTAGGATATTTAAGAAAATTATTAAAGTTTGAAAGCAGAAATTAAAAATGTAATGCAATGATTATATATAAATAAATAACTAAAATATCTAATAATGTAATAAAATGCAATCATTTTGGAAATTAAATTTTGGCTAATGCTGTCATTGTTTAGAAAGATTTGCAGGTGAAAGTGCATTCTTCCTCTCCTAGAATCAGTAGCGCCTGCACTGCAGTTTATTCTGAGAGCTTTAAACCCGTCTTGACTCCAAGATCCGGATGACTTGTCTTACCTGACGTGCCTCCAGGTCATTTTCTTACTTACAAGTCCGATTGGTGTAAGTGTCTCCTTCCTGCATCAGTAAAATGCAAATCAATTTCCAAAGAGGTTGAGTGTGGACAGTTTTTATACCGGAAAGGATCTTCACTCCATTCCTTGGAACAACTGCACCAGAACACAGAGTGGGTTATTATGGGAGACAGACGTTTGTTTTCCTCCGCTTTGACCAAGATAAACAGCCAGGAGACCTTTCCGTTCTGCCTTGGAAACCCGCTAGGAGCTCCTGCTGTGACTCCAAGGAGGTTGAAGGACTGCCCCTCAGTGAATCACCCCAGGAGGGGTGGAGACACAGTCTGACCATACCTCAAACCGAAACTCACCCCCAGCAGTATTTACAGTGTCCATAGCAGCAGGGGTGACCAATCCCTGATGCAAAACATGGATGATCAAGGGGACAAGGTTTTACCTCACTGAAAAACAAGTTGATTAATGAATTAAAATCCCACACAAACAGAAAAGCTTTCATAAGAAAGTGGAAATTTTTCTATTGCTTACTCCTTGTTCTAGAGAGGGTGAGACAGGCCAACTAGAGAGGGAAGCTGCTGTATGAGACATCGCTAGCAGCCTGGGCCCCAGAAGTCGGGAATGTTGAGCAGTAGGTAAAGGGGGAGGGCCTTTCCACATCTGTTTCCAGTGCACCCTTACTGCTACTGATGAGCAGTTTGTTGCATCACTAGTCTTACCACCATGTGAAAGGGGGGAGGACTGAGGCTTTGAAATGTTAAGCCCCTTGACAGTGAGATCTTTGAAAAACATGAAATGCACAAATATGTATAAGAAACCCTTAGAAACCCTATGCAAAGCCTGCTGCATGGAGCTCACCACCTCACACCAGGCAGGGATAAACATCCAGCACTAAGTCTGAGTTTTTCCAATTGCCAAAGTCAAGACTGGGGTCCTTCCACCAGTACTAGAGAACACCTTGCAACTCAGTAGAGCAATTTGGATTTTAATACAAGAACTGATATCTAAAACATAATATGCTTCCTTAAAAGTTGGAACAGCTTTTGACACTGATTTGATTTCTTACATCTTTAAACGTGAGGTTTATTACAGAGACCATTAAGCTAGCAATGTGCTGGGGAGCCTGGATGGCACATGGTCTCCTGATGAAGAGTTCTGTAAGTTCCAAGATCAAGTCCAGACTGACAAACATGAGAGTGCAAGACTCACAGAAGTGAGGCACCCTGGGGTTTTAGCAAACATCTCCAGGTGCAGCTATGAAAGGTTCTTTTTTAAATTGAATAGTTATTATTGGTTCATTATGTAATCTAGTTATATACACAAAGTAAGTACATTTTATGACTTTAAATTAATAGAAATAGAAACTTGTATTAAATTTTGGATTAAATTGAATAGTTATTATTGGTTCATTATGTAATCTAGTTATATACACAAAGTAAGTACATTTTATGACTTTAAATTAATAGAAATAGAAACTTATATATGACCAAAATGGGCTGTATATTAAAATAAAACCATATGTAAGTTTAAAAGATTGTATTTCTTTGTATAAAAATGTTTTAAATTTTTTTACTTTTAAGAATGCTATGGAAACAAAAGCTTTCTGATAATAGTAAAATTTTAAATAGATCAGCTAAAACCTAATTCTTCACAATTTCTTTATTAAATATTTTATATTGGACACTTCCAAATATACAGAAAAGCTAGGAGAAAGATTCAGTAAACTCAAGTTTACCATGTAAGTATTAACCTTGGACAATCTTATTTCTTACCATGCTTAATGTCTTGGAGTTTTTAAAAGCTAGTCCCAGATTTTTGGTACTGAGGATGGAATTTAGGGCCTATACATGCCAGGCAAATGCTCTACCACCAAGCTATATCCCCTGCTCCTCAAATGAGGTTTTAGACCATCTGCTAAACTTTACAAATGGAAACTGTAGAAAAAGAATAGAAAATATTTTGTCCTGAGGGGAAGAAACATCCAAAGGATGTCTAGCTGTGGCTATTTGCTTAAGATCTAGTTATCTTGGAGGAGCATCAAGGAGGCTTGGAGAAACATCAGGGCCTCTGGCCTTGGAGATAAAGATGCTGATGAACTATTTTTCACCACTCTGTCACTTACTCTCACCAGGCCTTTGTGGTCCCTGGATGTCTCCTTTGCTCAAAGATCTAATAAAAGAGGTTTTGCATCTCCTTGCTGGGAGAGCTGCCACCAACAAAACCTGGCGTGTGAGAGTTGCCTGGGAATGGCTAGAGTGGGGGAAGGTGGATCTCTTGCCAGGATGGGGGAATCCGCTGCCTTGTTATCAGCTGTAAACAGATAAGACTGGAGCCAGCAATCCAACCTCCAGCAGATAAAATGTGTGGGAACCAGGACATCCAAGATTAAACACTGTCACATTCTCAGCACAGTAAGCAATCACTGCAGCAAATGCTCTGCAGCCCATTCAGTATGAAGTGCTCTTTGCTACTTTAAAGCTGTCCTCATGAACTGCTCACTGGGACCCACAGGAGAGTGAAAACTGGTGTCTCTCTGCTTATCTTTGTGTTTTGGCTGGGCTACTTTCCGTCTATATGAATTTTTCTTTTTACATATCTCATGGAAGTGAAATAATACAGTATTTGTCATAGTCTGTTAATTTTTGCATTGCTGGGAATTGAACCCAGGGCCTCATGTGCTAGCCAAAGGCTCTACCATTGAGTTCCACCCACAGCCCATGTTTGTTCTTCTGCATCAGGCTTATAATCATGTAGCATAATTTTTTTGGCTTATCCACATGGTGTGGTAGCATGTATCAGAACTTTATTTCTTTTTGTGACTGAATAACATCTCATGGTGCACATGTACATACCAAATTGTTTATCCATTACCTTTTGATGGGCACATGGATTTCTTTCTACCTTTTGGGAGAACACAGAGGAAAAATAATCATCTACACACCAATGAGGAAGGTTTCAGGAGAAAACAAATCTGCCAGCACATTGGTCTTGGACTTCCAGACCCCAGAACTATGAGAAAATAAATTTGTGTTGTTTTAGTTGCCTAATATGTTGTTTTGTTATGGCAGTCCAAACTAACACCCAAGGTTTTTGTTTTTTCCATAATTTTAAATTTTCTTTCAATGGTTGCGATTGAACACAGGGGTTCTCACATGCTAAGCACAAGCTTTACTACTGAGCTACACCCCAGACATATTTTCTCCATTATGTTACATATTATGTAACATAGTGATTTTTGCAAACCATAGAGTGTATTTCTACTGGCGGCCTTCTAAGAAGTCAGAGAACATCTACACAGTGTCCTTCCAAGGACATTTTCATTCAGGAAAAACCTAGTGGACAGTTCTCAAGCCATGTTATTAGTCCTGCTGATGTTCTTCAAATCAAATGGTGAGGCTGGACTGTTGTGACTGTGACTGCCCAGGCCCCTGGAGAATCTAGTGGAGTCAGAGATGCTCATCTCAGTGAACAGAAGTGACCAACTCAGGTGACAAGAGATCATCTTTCAGACAACAGATCTCCACAGTTGATATTCATTTTCCAAATGTGGCCACATCTAGATGAGGCTAATCACCAAGGCCTTTAGTTTCTAAATAATACAACCCCTGTAGATTTATTTGCAGAAAACATGGTCATAAAAAAACCCAAAAGCATGCATTCCCTGAAGTAAAGATAGAGGCTTAAAATGAATTCATTGCAGAGAGAGGTTTGGTTTTTCCAGAACTTTGGAAGAAGCAGACAGTGGTATACTAAAAGGCAAGCCTGGGATGCAGGAGTCCTCCTGGTAGTGCTACCTGTGAACCAGTCCATCTTCTGGTATCTGGAGATGAAATCCAGGGGAGGGAGATGCAGTCTGTCCTCAGCATGGATGCTAAGTGCACTGTGTGCCTTAGATTAATTTTACCTTCTCACCCTGAGCCTTAGAGACCAAGGCACAATGGCGGAGTCAGTGGAGAACATACCACTGTGAAAGAGAGAACACAGCGGCCATGAACTTGATGGCAGTAGTTTTTTGTATACCCACTTCTCAGACTGATGTCAGATCCAAGCCATCTTATCAAAAAATTGCCTGATTTTTTGAGAAAGAAATTGAACACAGCATTTTCTGATTGGTCTCAGATGCTTGGCTTAGGAACAAGTCTCCCAGATCTCCATGACAGTCCACACCCACTTGCCCAGTCAGTGTTTTTACACTCTAATCTCCAACCTCACTCTTGTCCCCTTTCTCGAGTGATCCTGGGTCACTCGAGACTAAATTCAGACTTAGAATATTTAACAATGATTAGAAGTCTCAGTTTACAGTTCATTTGAATGTCCCTAAGAGCCTCCATACCCTCCACGCCAAGCCATGTAGCCTCTCCCTAGGACAGAACTATGGCTTCCTGTGGGACAAAAGAGACAGGGTAAGAGAGCCATGATCTTCATCTTTTTGGTATCTGCTACCAGAAGTGCGTTACAGGCCCACACCCAGGGAGAGGGTCTCACAGGGCCATGAACACCAGGAAGCTTCTTTAGGGCTAAAATAGGACAGAAGAAATAAAGAACCAGTAGAATGGAGTCAAGGAAAATTAGACTTTCAAAACTGTACTTTTAAGAAAAACTGCAACTTCAGGACACAAAAATTACTCAAGCATTTTTCCCTTTCAAGAAATTCTTTCAAAAAATTCCTAATGTTCTTAAAAACACAGCAAGCCTGTGAAGTGAGACCTGGGCTTGTGTTTTTCACCTATTAATTCCCTTCCTACCACAGACCTCCACTTCCAGGAAGTAGTACTAATAGTGAGCAGCAGGTCTCAACTTCAAACTCAGGTAAATGATTTGCACTGTAGCATAGCATGTGCCAGTTGAGCAGGAATGCACAACCAAGATCCCTCATCATGAAGACACCCTCAAGACCTCATAAATACATCCAGCTCCAGATCATAACAGGGCTTTCTGTCTTGAGGGACCCCAGTCTGTTTCTTTGAGTGTGCACTTTTAAATTTTGGTCTAATAAATTCCTTTATGCTTCTTACTAATGTATCCTGAGAATTCTTCCTCTGTGACAGGAGACTGTAAACCTATAAATTCTATGAGTAGGGTGGGTTTAGAAATCTCCTAGGACCCTGTCCAGTAATAGAGCCATCAGAGATGATCTGATACACACTAGTCAAAATTGTTTTGCCATATTCCCTGTTTGGCTTTTACTGAAGATATTAAAGTAAATTATATCATTACATCTTCCTCTCCCTAAATATCTCAATA